TCCAATGGATTTCCTCGGGTAGTAACGAGTGGTGCTCCTTGGAGCACCTTTTGCATTTTTTAGAACTTTTGCAGAGGCCCATCTGGTCTCTTAAAAAACTAGATCAAATTCCGTGGCTTCTTACCAGATTGTGTCTTTCTAATAATGACATTTCTTTGAATTTTAAGCACTTTGTAAGCTGATGTTTCTTAGAGCAGCATTTGCATTCAAATGGTTTGAGTGAACAATCCTGTCAACTGAGTTGACTATGGATTTTTTAGTGATACCTGGTAGGCATTTTGGTAGGTCTTAGCAGGACCGCCTTGGAACACTCTCACTTCTCAGCAGAGTTCGACGCCAAGTCTTCGCTTGTAATAGCATCACCTCGCTCGTGCACCGAGCACAAAGTAGTAGCAGACTCACGACGTGGCATTACTCGAAGAAGTGGTATAACCTCTCACTTTTTAGGATAATCTACCACCAAAAGAATCTTGCTTGTGCCCCACGCGCACGAATCGATAAGCAAATCTCCACACCATTCAGCGCACACCTTGCAGATCCGAACGTCTCTACTCGAAGAAGTGGGAAAAGCTTTATAATCGTCCGACCTCCAGTGCACTACACCACGAGGATCCGCAAACTTACAACCTTCTACCTCCGAATGAGGTGCATACTGACGCCAAGTGTCAACTACCACAGAACCCCAAGGGCTCATCGATTGAATTCATCAACAAGAATCATTCCTGTATTCAGAAATTAAACGGAATAAACAGCACAATAAACAGATGTGTTAAATATTAAATTAATACGCTATCTCTTCCACTTATCCGCACATCTCTTGCACATAACACCTTGTGGTTTTTTAGTTAATTCTAAACACCCCTGTTGACCTGGTTTGGAGAGCCTTGCTGTGGCTCTAGGTTGATCTGTCTCTGAGTGCATCTCTATTAACGCCCTCATCCAAGACGTTAGAAAGCCAATTTTTCAAAGCGTAGGTATGAAGTGAAAGAGTTAATTGATGACTCCCACAATTCCTTTATAACACGATCTTTGTATCTTAACGATGCTTATGTAAGGACTTAAGTGGAAGGACTGTACAGATATACAGTGTGTGCAGACTTCTTTTAAAAAACGTTTATTTTGGTTTATTGATAATTACATTATTGTTGATTCTGAATTCTCTTCTCATCGGAGAATGTGAACTATGTTCTGTCACAACGATATAGTTACTCCTTGGTGATGGTGATGATGTTGTTAATGGGCTATAGAGATCAGCAATGGGTTGTGTAAACTCCTTACACGGGAATATACGTTGGTTTTCTGATCTGTGCTAACGTTGTAACAATTAGCAGGGAGAGACGACCATATTCATTAAGAGAGTATGGATTTATTTGAATGGTAGTTACCCTCAATAGAGACTAATGGTAGACCTTCGTGTAAAGGAGTATCCCAATACTATGCTTCTTGTAGTGACTATTTCCTTGTACTGCAGTCAGCATTCTTGACTGATTGTTAACCGTTGCGCACAAGAGAATTGAATGTGTGTTCCTTGCAATGGCTGCACTGAGAGAGCGGGATCGAGTAACGAGCTTAGCTTACGGCTGTAGACTCTGGCTTAATAACGTGGCTGTAGTGTAGATGACTGATTAGGATGAGTAACTGACTCGGAGGAGTAACTGACAATGTGTCTTGATGCGCGCTTCCTTAAATATCCACGCGACAGCTAAGTTAGCTGGCAACAATGCTTAGATGTTGCTATGCGGAGACTAGATAGACTTGCAAAACGTTCGACAATCAGCTTTAGAAGTTTCGAGATTTCTAAAAGAAAAATGCTCCAATTCCGAACAACTACTAAATATAATATATATAGTTAAAAATATCTTGTATTATTTCACAATATCGGAATAATTATTTCTGTCAAATTCCAACTGATTTTGGAATTTATTCTTTAATTTATTATGAAATACGTCAATTTAGAGTTATGAAGTTATGAAGATTAATTAAAAATATTTTCGGAATGATCATAGTTCCTATGTTTTGACAATAACAATATAAAACATAAATCGTTCTAGTAACAAATTAAGCGTTGCAGAATTTCAGTACTCAAAACATTAAATCAGAAACTTATTTTTTCTTTTCATGAAATACTTTTATAGTTTTAAAGACTTTTACATTCTGGCATACGATACATTTCACGATGCTACGCTTACATTGATAGTTATAAAATAGATAATTTCAGAATTTTGCAACTTGATATTTATTTAGAAACTTGATGAAATGTAATAGAAATAAAAAATAAAAGAAAAAAAAGATTTACAAAATCGAGTTATTCATTTTTTAACGTGTACACGAAATATGAAGTTATTTAAAAAAATTTTTCAATTAATTAAAGAAAAAAATAAGGTTAAAAATGATTTCCAAACACGAATAGTATTATGAAATTTATATGGTAAATAAAATGTGTTAGAATACTTAAGTTTTGCGATAGATGAATAAAACAGGTTATTTGATATTCTCAATCATAATATTCATTAATTGTGATTATAAATATTATTTGTAATATGTAGGAAAATTTTTAATTATTTTATTGAGAATTTGTTCTCATGGTATCAGTTGGAAATACGAAAACATAAAGAGATGAACACATGGGTACATTACTTACAGTACGATACAGTATTATTGGTCTATTAATAATATTATTGCGTACATTCGTTGAAATTCTCATGAAAATAAGTAGTTTAGTAAAAAGTGTAGTAATAACTCTTAATCAAATGTATCGAAAATAATGAAGCATAGCCGTAGCAGCAATTGGTTGAAAGAATGAGACTTGACTAGTGGGAATTGCATTGTTTTTACAAGCACATCGACAAACATGGTAAACAGAAAAAAGCAGTCGACTGTGAGCTCGGTGATCCAAGTAAATTACTGCAACTTGAACAACGCCACTTATTTTATCAGTGCTTGAGGCGTTGCAATTTTCTGGCTAAATTGAAATTCACTTTACTATCTTATCTCTTTTTATTATTTTTTTATTCAAACGCTCTTTTAAAAATGTCAAGTTTATCTTGTTTTTAAGAATAGACCACAGAAACTTTTACTCGATGGGATATTTCATGTATGCCAAGTCAA